CGTTTCTTTGCTGGCTGCCTGGGCAGCAGGGGCAGGGGATGCTGCCAGCCAAGGCACCAGCAGGGGGCACCACTGGGGTGGGGAAGATGGCAGGCAGATATTGACCTGCCCAGTGGCAGCAGCAATTCAGAACTGGGCCTAGGGTGACCAGATGTCCCGATTTTATAGGGACAGTCTCGATTTTTGGGTCTCTTTCCTATATAGGCTCCTATTATCCCCCCCCCCTCCTGATTTTTCACATTTTCTGTCTGGTCACACTAACTGGGCCCCATCACCCTGGCAATTCCCGGTAAAGGGGGATCCACTCCCTGCCGCTGCTCCAGGACCTGCCCTTTGCCTAGGCCTGGAATAGACCCCAGTTTCCCCTGTGCCCACTGAGTGCTGCAGGGCACTAGGGGCACCAAGACAGGGAGGATGTTAGAATAGATGTTGGAGCAGTTAGACTCTGGACACAACTCCTGGGCTGTCGCCTGGGGAGCGACTGTCCTTCACTGCATGCTCTGTGGGGGCAGGCCGAGGTGTTGGCTGTGCCCTAGACAGCCCCCAGCACCTAGGGCCTGGTTCGCAGAAGGGTCGCCTCTCTCCCGGCTGCACTGCCCCAGCTGGGCTGGAATCAGAGCCTCCATCCAAGAGGTGACACATTCGCACCTGCCATTTTCCTCCTGTCTTATTTATGGCTGTGACCCATTCTCCTTCCAGGTGCTCTCCCTGCCCCCACCCTCTACCTGAGCCAGATGTCTGCCCGGCCGGTGGACTCTGTGAGGCTCCAGTGCTCCATGATCTCCCATCTCCTGGCCTCCCGCATTGTCTTCTGTCAGGATGGGGAGGAGGTTTGGTCCCAGAGGGGCTTATCTGGGAAACTCACCTACGACTATGACCACGCAGTATCTGGGGCAAGCTCCAGGAATTACTCCTGTGCATACGAGATCAAGGACAGTGACAACCAGGTGATCAGGTCCCAGCTCAGCCCTCCCCAGCACCTCATCGGCACCAGTAAGGCCAATGTGAGTGTGAGACCATATCCCAGCTCAGCCCTGCCCAGCAACTCAGCACCGTGGGAAGGTGAGTGTGTGTGTGGGGGGGTGAATGGCAGAGCAAGGCCGAGGACTTTCCAGAGGGAATGGCCAAAAGGAACCATTAGATCACCTATGCTGAGCTCCCATATGACCCGGACCAGGGAGTAGCTCCCAGTGACCCTGTGCCCAGTGTAGCAGGGGCTGGTGGAGCCAGGATGTGGCTTTTGGTCACGGCCACGGTTCTTTGCTGGCTGTCTGAGCAGCAGGGGCAGAGGATGCTGCCAGCCAAGGCACCAGCAGCGGGCACCGCTGGGGTGAGGAAGGTGGTGGGTAGATCTTGACCTACCCAGTGGTAGCAGCAATTCGTGTGTGAGTTCAGAGCTGGGTCCCATCGCCCTGGCAATTCCGCTCCCTGCCACTGCTCCAGGACCCTTCCCTTAGCCTGGGCCTGGAATTACACCCACGGGAAGAGGCAGAGGTGGAGCCGGAGCCTGGTGAGCTGGGGCTGGAGGCAGGGCAGGGCACTGCTGGAGCTTTTGTTAAATTTCAAAGCCCTTTTAGAATCGGGACAACCAGTTCTAAAAGGGCTTCTAAATTTAGCAACCAGTTCCTGCGAACCAGTGGGAACCGGCTCCAGGTCACCACTGCCTCTAAGCTTATTTACCAGCTTAGGTTATCAGTAAGCTGCCACCACCAAATCGTTTGAGTCATTTGGAAACTATCTTCCCCCCAAAATATCTGCCTCCCACGTACTATAATCCTTCCCTGGGCAGCCTTGAGAAACTTCTCCACCAATTTCCTGGGGAACACCGATTCAAACCCTTGGATCTAAAAACAAGGAAAAATCAATCAGGTTCTTAAAAAAGAAGAATTTTAATTAAAGAAAGAGGTAAAAATCATCTCTGTAAAATCAGGATGGAAAATAACTTTACAGGGTAATCAGATTCAAAGAGCCCAGAGGACCCCCCTCTAGCCTTAGGTTCAAAGTTACAGCAAACAGAGGTAAACCCTCTAGCAAAAGGAACATTTACAAGTTGAGAAAACAAAGATAAAACTAACACGCCTTGCCTGGCTGTTACTTATAAGTTTGAAATATGAGAGACTTGTTCAGAAAGATTTGGAGAGCCTGGATTGATGTCCGGTCCCTCTTAGTCCCAAGAGTGAACAACCCCCCAAACAAAGAGCACAAACAAAAGTCTTCCCCCCCCCCCCCAGATTTGAAAGTATCTTGTCCCCTTAGTGGTCCTTTGGGTCAGGTGTCAGCCAGGTTACCTGAGCTTCTTAACCCTTTACAGGTAAAAGAATTTTGGTCTCTCTGGCCAGGAGGGATTTTATAGTATTGTACACAGGAGGGTTGTTGGCCGTAGCTGCTGCTTTGAGCCTCATTTCTGCCTCTCACATTTGAAACTCGTGGTCCTGTTCTTTCTCTGCAGCTTCCAGTCTGGCCAGCTCTAGTTTTGTAGCTGCCTCACTGGTAGTCATTTTTCTGCTTTCTTGTGCTTATTCCCCCCCACCCAAAATAAACAAAGAGAAAATAACAAAACTGTGACCGCCTCCTGACTGTTCTTAGCCACTGCACTTAAGACTCACTTAAAATCACAAATATCAGTGCTTAAAGTGTGAATTTCACTTGGAATAATAAGCTGTACATACACCCTGCTCCGCTGTGCCACTGTGACGTCCCCTCTGGTGTTATTTGGATGGGTGATGTGCTAGGTCACTCCAGTCCTTGACTCTGGGAGGCAGCCTTCCCTGCTCTGCTGTGAGAACCCCCACTCCTGGGCTGTTCACACACAGCCTCTGACATGTAAGCTGCTCCTTGGATCGTGCAACCTAATGACACTAGCCAATATCTCCGGTCCCAGACACAACCCTAGGAACCTCAGTGTCCAGTGGGCATAACTGGACACTGCAAGATGGAGAGCTTGTGGCGTATATAGATGTAGATGGAAGACAGAAGAAGAGCATTGCAAACATCTCTCCCTTTTATCATGTTCTTTCTTCCCTCTTGGCTTTGCTCACCCCCCCCCCCCTTCAGAGTCAGATGAGCATTACCACATCACAGTCCCAAACTAACCAAAGAAAGGGGGGTGACTCACTCGAGAGTCCAACACATCCTTTTGTTGCTGCTTAGGCCAGCGTCCTTTATACCTGTGAGGCTGGGCTGGGTTTGTCCCATACATGCCTTGATGATGTGTGAAGTGCCCCTCTGCTCTTAGAGAGTTTTTGTCTGGGATATTTTAAGCCATGAGGATAAATTTTCAGCCTCATAACTATACACATGAAATTATAACCTAACATTATTACAACAACAATCCTCGGTGCATCATGAGCCTTCCGAAGACACCCAACATGACAAACTTTGCTTTGGATACCACACAATCCTTTTATAAGAATGAACATGGGGGTGCTGGGTGATCCCCCGAGGTACAGAGCATCACAGGTACCTTCTTTGCGTTTTGTCAAATCTGCAGTGAAGGTGTTCTTAAAATGAACAACATTTGCTGAGTCATCATCCGAGATGACTATAACGTGAAAGATTGGCAAAATGCAGGTAAAATACATAGCAGGAGATACACAATTCTCCCCTAAGAATTTCAGTCACAAATTACATTAACACATTGCTTTTTTAACGGGCATCATCAATATGTTAGTATGGTGTCTGGAATGATGGCCGAAGCATGAAGGAGCATGTGAATGTTTAGCATATCTGGCATTTTGCAATGCCACCTACAAAGTGCCATGCGAATGCCTCTTCTCACTTTTGGGTGACATTGCAAATAAGAAGCAGGCATCTTTATCTCCTGTAAATGTAAACAAACTTGTTTGAGCGATTGGCTGAACAAGAAGTAAGACTGAGAGGATGTGTAGGCTCTAAGTTTTCCATTTTTTTTTGAGTGCAGTTATGTAACAAAGATATATACATTTGTAAGTTGCACTTTCACAATAAAGAGATTGCACTACACTTCTTGTGTGAGGTGAACTGCAAAATACTATTTCTTTTACCATTTTTACAGTGCAAATATTTGTAATCCAAAATACAGTAAAAGCTGTTTTTTTCCAGCATTTCACCAACCAGAAAGCTCTACATGTTGGCATTTCTGATCTTCATTGAAATGATGGTTTATAGTGTGGTTGGTGCGGGGCCGGCACGGGGTTGGGGAGCAGGAGGGGGTGTGGAGCATGGGCTCTGGGAGGGACTTTGGGTGTGCGAGGGATCTTAGTAGGCGGGAGGGGGTGCGGGGTGTAAGATCTTGGGGCGGCTCACCTCGGATGGCTCCCCGCAAGCAGTGACCTGTCCCGGGCTCTGGCTACTCCTAAGCGGAGGCGCATCAGGTGGCTCTGCCATCCCCCATGCCGGCTGCACAGCTCCATTTGGCTGGGAACCATGACAAATGGGAGCTGCGGGGGAGGCGCCTGTGGGTGGAGGAAGTGCTCCAAGCCGCCTGCCGTGCCTCCACCTAGGAGCAGCTGGGATAAGTTGCTGCTTGCGGGGAGCCACTTGAAGTGAGTGCCCCTGGATCCGGCACCCTGCACCCGATACTGCGCTCCAACTGCCTGCCCCGAGCCTCCTCCCACATCCAAACTTCCTCCCAGAACCCGTGCTCCACATGCCCTCCCGTGCCCCAGCCCCCAGCCCTGATCCTACTCCCGCACCCAAACTCCCTCCCTCTTAGTTAACCAGCATTTTTTATTTACCACCCCCCCCCCCATTCCCTGAACATGCTGGATAAAACAACCTTACCTGTAATAATATAAAGTGAGAACTGTACACATTGTATTTTGTGTTGTAATTGAAATCAATATATTTGAAAACATAGAAAAACGTCCAAAATATTTAATAAATGTTGGTATTCTATTGTTTAGCAGTGTGATTAAAACTGGAATTTAATTTTTTTAATCATGATTAATTTTGAGTTTATCGTGTGAGTAAACTGTTATTAATTGACAGGGAGTGAACCCCAAACATGCTGTTGCAGAGGCGGGTGGGGGAAAGCCCCCAAAGTCAGCCCAACTTACTAGAAACTACTATATAATTAACTATCTACAACTAAGAAAAGGAAACCACTAAGTAGGCACTTGCGAATGCAAGAGACTGAGCTGCTCCAACAACCGTCATTAGCGGTAAGAAGGAACTGAGCAGGCGGCGGGTCGGCAGGGACCTATATACACCTCCATGAAGGCGCCACTCCAGGGGTCTCCGCAGTGGTGCTTCGGGTACCACTAGGGGAAAACCTTCCGATGATCGTACACGTGGCACGCACACACCTATTGGTATGAACTTGAGCAACCATACAAAGAAGTACATAGCGCCTCCCACTGATGGGTCTGAACCTGGGCCTGCCTTGGTCACAGGAGTTTAAGACATTCAAGAGGTGTGCAAAACCTATGCCCACAAGAGATCCGCACGCTCCTTGTTTCAAGTGCCTAGGAGACGGTATCAGACAGACAAGTGCCCAACTTGCAGGAGTTTTAGACCCAGGGCTAAGAGAGAGTGGGACTATGGTTGAAAGCTCCTCCTGATGGAGTCGGCTCTCCGCCCCCAGCTGGCACCGGAAATGGCACAGGCATCGTCAGTGCGCAGCGCCACAGCCTCGGTGAGGGATGTCCTGGCACCAAGAAAGGACTCCTCCAAGGGTGCTAGCCGGTGGCACCACTCACAGTCCCCAGTGCAGCATAAGAAAAAGAAGGGGGACAGGGGTTCCCCCGTCAAGAAGCCATGAGAGGATTCCAGCGGGGTGCGTCCTGCTTAGGGACACTCATGGATTGCACCTCAAGACCCACCACTGTTGACTCTGGCCCCAATTGGAGGCCCATCAAGTCCAGTGCTGGTGGACTCCCCAACTCAGGAGGTTTTGGAGAAAGAGCTCGACCTCCCCTCCATGCCGGACACCTATGAGGCAGCATGGGACCTCATTGCCATGACGGCGCAGTCCCCGGCCTGGCAGGTGTGAGCTCAGGCTCCGTCAGCAGCACCGACGATGGCACTGACTGCAGCATCTATGGCGGTGCCGCATACGGCTCTGGCACCATTTGCAGTACCGTTGGCGGGACCACCACTGGTTAATCATTGCAGCAAGCCCATGATGTTACAGCACCACTCCCCATCATCCTGGTACTGCTACCTGGCACCGTTGGGCTCCGCCCTCCTGTGGTCAGGCACAGAGTACTCGTCCAAGTCAGATGCTGAGTCTTCTGTCTCTTGAAGCAGCCAGTACTGCTCCTGCTCCCAGCACTGGTCCTGGCACCACAAAGCTGTGGACTCATTGATACTGGCAGTCTCCTAGCCACCCCAGTGGCAGGGCCCAGTACAGTGGCCCTTTTGGACTCCTTCAACCTATCATCAGACTCAGGGTCAGGGTTCCTGGGCCACATTGGTGCCATCTGCACCCCATTCCCTCCCCCAGAAATGAGGACCCCCAATGAGACAGGGACTCTGGGCCGTCATGCTCAGGCACGGCACCCGAACCAGTGCCACCAGTTGTACTGGAGCCACTTCCAGTCACAGGCAGGACCGAGGCACCCAACCCAGCCTCCAGAGAGCGAGGAGGGCAGGAAGACCCGGTCCCACAGGCCTCCTACTCCTCACTGGATGAGGCAGTGGCAGGCACCACCATCACCCTTCCAGCGATGGACACCAGGACCTTCTTAGGAGGGTGGCCCTAAACCTGAATCTCCAGGCAGAGGAGGTTACAGAGGAGTCGGACCCAACAGTGGACATCCGTGCCCCAGAGGGTCCATCTAGGGTGCCCTTGCCCCTGATAAGAATGATCCAGAACACTCCTAGGGTGCTCTGGCAGACTCTGGCGTCAATACCACCCACCACTAAAGGGGTGGAGAGATACTATTTTTTGCTGCAGAAAGGGTACGAACACCTTTTCACGCACCCCCAACCGGGGACTCTGGTGCTTGATATGGCAAACCATAAGGAGTGACAGGGCAGCCAGGTCACGCCCCAAACCCACGAATGCTAAGAAGCTGGATTTCTTCGGCTGAAAGGTCTACTCGACCAGGGGGCTCCAGCTTCGAGTAGCCAACCAGCAAGCGGTACTCAGCTGCTTTCAATTCCTGGAGCTTGTTAGCAAAATTCCAGGAGTTGCTCCTGGCTGACTCATGCAAGGAGTTTAGCGCGCTTCTCGAGGAGGGCAGAGTGGTCTTGAGAACCTCCCTCCAGGCTGTGTTTGACGCAGCAGACTCAGCAGCTTGGACTATGGCCACCGCCATTACTATGATGTGCAGGACATGGCTGCAGGTGTCGGGGATACCACTGAGGTCCAGAACATGATCCAGGACCTCCGCTTGACCATGCAGGCCTGTTCAACCCAAAATACAGACTCTTGCCTGCACAGCCTTAAGGACTCGAAGGTGACTTTAAAGTCTTTGGGTAACCACACCCCTGCACCCCAAAGAAAGTCATTTAAGCCTCAGCCCCATCTCACTTTTACTGTGGTCCTCCGAGGCGAGACTCGTCCAGGAGACAGGACAAAAAATAATAGGAGGCGCCTGCCACAGTCCTCCTCAGGCCAAGGCCAGGGTTCGGCCAAACAGCCCCGAGGCCAAACTTTTGAAGATGCACCTGAGGACAGAGCATCAGTATCGAACTCGGATCCTTACCCTCCCTTTGTGAATCGTTTCTCCTGCTTCTACCATGCTTGTTCCAAGATCACGTCAGATCGCTGGGTCCTGAGCACAGTACGGGTGGGATATTTGTCATAAACATACAGCTAAGGGTAGCATAAAATCCCTCCTTTGCCTGTAAGGGATTAAGAAGCTCAAATAACCTGGTTGGCACCTGACCAAAAGGACCAATAAGGGTAGAAGATCCTTTCAAATCTGTGGGGACAGGTTTTGTTTTGTGCTCTCTTTGTTGTTCTCTCTGGGACAGAGAGAGACCAGGGCAGGAAAAACATCTCCTAAAGCCATATCCACTGGTTACCCACAAAACCAACCTTCCCCCCCCCTCTTAAAAATTATAGAAGGCCAGAAAGGACCATTGTGATTGTCATAAACAGACAATTAAGGGTTAATTCTTCTTTTACCTGTAAAGGGTTAAGAAGTTCACATAGCCTAGCTGACACCTGACCAGAGGAACCAATGGGGGGGGGGGGGGGGGGGGG